TTAAAAATAAACTCGAGTTCGGATTAGCGAAATCCGAGTTAGTCTTATTTCTTCTCAAATTTCAACTCTCGGATGCTTTTCACAAACACGGATTTCCTAAATCCGAGTGCTTAGTAAATTCGAGAAAGTCTCTGAGCTCGGATTTACAAAATTCGAATTTCCCCTGTTTCTCCTCAAATTGCAACTCTCGGATGCTTTTCACAAACACGGATTTCCTAAATCCGAGTTCTTAGTAAATTCGAGAAAATCTCTGAGCTCGGATTTAGGAAATCCAAATCTCCCCTGTTTCTCCTCAAATTGCAACTCTCGGATGCTTTTCACCCATTCGGATTTCGGAAATCCGAGTCCTTTGCAATTTCAAAAAAAACTCTGAGCTCGGATTTCTGAAATCCGAATGCTTCACAAAACCTTACAATGATGAGTATTTTGCACAATCCGATTTTGATTATGAAAAATAGTACATATTTCATCACACTTTACAATCCGAAAAATTCAATGTTCACATTACAATCCGAATTTATCAATGTTCACATAAATTTATCAAACACTAAATAACTTGCAAGAACAATAAATTACACTCAATTCCATTTGTCATTCACAGTCTTCTATCTACTCACAGGTGCGAGAACGGACATGAATTGGCATCATGACCTAGTTGTCCGCATCTCCAACATTCCCCGGCTCCGGCGTCCCCGTAATCCATTTGCATTCTATGTCTCCTTTTTGTCTTCGTCCCGGTCCCGCATGCAACACAAGACGCTCATAATTCGAATGATGTTCCAATTGACCATCGGCCATTGTTCCTCATCGGGAACCGGACAAAACCCGTGTAATGAAATTGTCTGCGCCACGTTGGAAGGCGCCACACACTATGGTATAGATCAATAGGCCGATCCCCTTTTCTCCGACAAACTTGGAGTGCATGCGTACAAGGCATCCGGTACTCTTGCCACTTCCCGCACGAACACCTATGTTCATCGTAGTTCACCGTATGCGAGACCCACCCCGCCACTTAGGCGTGTGGCGGTAACAACACGCCACATAGCATCATCACCATCGAAAGGGTGGCTTCAAACTGGCTGCTTTATCATTCATTTTCTCGTATTTTTCCATAACTCGGGAGGGATCGGTGTCATGCAATTTCTCGAGACAATTGTTCTTCTCTATAGAATTTAACAGTTTTGCGAAAGGTTGCATCGATCAAGGCTCTAATTGGTAAAAAACGGATCCCTTTCAATGCATTGTTGTAACTCTCAGAAATGTTGGTTGTCACTATGCCCCAACGGCGAAGACCGGCTTTCAATCGAGCCCAATTACTCCCCCCAATCCCTCGAAGATACTCCCATGCAGCAGGTTTGAATTCAATAAGCTCTGCCCTCATACGGTTGTATTTCACTCTTGAAAGCGTCGTGCCCATCTTCCAACATAACCGCTTCACCTTTTTGCTATTATATCGCGACACAAGATTGCTGCGAACGTGGCGGAGGCAAAGAAAGTGCCCACCATCACCTAAATCACGCCATTCATCCATCTGTGACATTGCGCTCAACAACCCTGCATTCCGGTCGGATATCACACTTACGATTCTATCATACACAACCCACAACCTCAAATTCCTCATAAAAAATGTCCAACTCTCTACTGTCTCCTCATCAACAATCACAAATGCAACCGGTAAAATGTGCTTGTTTGCGGTATACACCACCGCAACAAGCAATTTACCCTTGTATCCACCACGCAAAAAGGTTCCATCGATACAAATGACCGGTGGACATTCAAAACGTCTCGACCACCGGTGCAAATGACCGAAGACGTATTTAAATGTCCGGTTTCCCTGTTCCAACCTTCTTGTCCCTCCTTCCATTCCCACTCTACTACGGTCTCGGGATTAGTAAACTTAAGCGCGTTGATATACCTAAACAACAACAAGTCATTGTTAAAATATTTCAATACATGTAAAAATAAAAATACTATAAATATTTCAATACACGGATAAAAGTTGATATTTACCGTGGAAGTTCTTCAAATTGGAGGTCCAATCACCATAGACCGCTTCTATGGCTTTCCTCCTCCCGTGCCACGCCCTTTTGTGTGGCACATCTACTTTCAATAAGGTCTTCACATCTTTCGTGCCGAGGCTACCGTATAATCTACGTTGTCCTCAACCTTTCTCTGATGAGTCTAGCAATCAAAGACGCGTCCACACACCGATTGTCATTATCATTCACGGAGTCATGCAATTATGTGCATCATGCCATCTCACAATTTCATGAAGGCCGTGAGCTTTCAATGACACACGCATCTTCCACTCACATGGTGGTTCACCATCCTCACTTTCCACATTAAATGTTCCGCACCGCACGCCCACGTCCTTGGACTACTCGCGCGACCGTATATTCCCTTTTATGATGGATATTCCATAATTTCACAGCATGCTTTGCTTCTGATTGAGATTTGAAACAAACACCAATGTCCATTCCTTCGGGCGTCTCATCCCACATCTTAAGAGCAAGCTCATCCTTGTCTACACATGAGGCATCCCAGTTCCCCATCTTACTATATACATGGCGTCGGGCGAATAGATTACAATCCCTTTCCTCATTTTCCAACCTTTCATCATCACTTTCTTCAAAATCACTCTTTCCGGAGACATCACAGTCTTCTTCGCTTTCACTTGGAGCTATGTAGTCGGAATCCAACTCTTCCCGGTAGTCATTTTGTGCAAATAAAGGTGTCTCCTCTTCATCACGGTTTCGAGAAGTACTAGCACGTTCCCCCTTCGAAAATCACCAAATGACACGTTTTCCAAACTCGCTTCTCTTCTTCTTGAGTGATATCTTCCAAATCTATGTATAAATCCAAACATGACATTGGATCTACACGGTTCATGAACTCTACATGCGAATCATTCTTGATCTTCACTACACGCCTACCACCGAGACTATCGAAAATCAAAGAAAGGTGGAGTTTCACGTGTGCTGGATCCCAACCAAGGGTCATACAAATCTTACTAATTAATCCCTCATATGACAACCTTTCTTCGACAAACAAACCATCATCCGGCATATTCGAAAAAGTGTTGATGCTACCGTTCTCTATCACATACTTACTTGTATGATACAAATTAAGCATGTATGATACATTACGTGCCATTGATAACTATTAAAAAAAACATCAATAACTAATCATTTCTTAATAACAAAATCAACAAAATACACCATACATTCTCTAAAATACACCATACACCATACACCATACATACTCCAACAAATACACCATACTAAAATACTTATAAATCAACTTCGATATCTCATGAACAACTATGATTTCTCATCTCTAACCTCAAAATCAACACCTAAAACATCCAAACAACCAACCAACATAAACCCTAATCTATCATACATCATTCTAACAATCAAAATAACACAAAAATAAACTAAATAACATGGTTTTGCAATCTAACCTCTTTCAAATAACGATTTCCACGTATCTAGAGGCAAGAATGCATCAAAAACTTCAATTCGCCCTTGTTTGAGCTGCAAAATAGAAAATCCAACTCGGTTCTCGAATGAGAACTGCACAAATTTTTTTCTTTTATAGCACGTTAAACTCGGATTTACGAAATCCGAGTTTGTAAGTAACTCGGATTTTCAAAATCCGAACTGTGTTAGATTCGAATTTCATAAATCCGAGTTTAGTCAATTCAGGATTATTTTATTAATTTGTTGGTCCTCCAATTTAAGGCACATGCCTACTTCCACCAACCAAAATTAAAGGCATCCGGATTTCTAAAATCCGAATTCGTCAAACCGGATTACGGACTTCCGGTTTTGGATTCAAAATTTCGCGCGCGATTTATTAATTTTTAACTAAACTCGGATTCTACAAATCCGAGCTTTACTGTTCACTAAAGAACTAAAAAAACTATTATTCAACAAAATTTATGAAATTATTATTTTATTATTAAGTATGGATCCGGATTTACAAAATCCGAATCTCTAATATTAATCAACACTCGGATTTCAGAAATCCGAGCAATATATTTCTGTCCACAGATATTCTGAAAAATTTAAAATTTGTCCACGTTTATTTTATTTAATTTTTTTTGGGAAAATCCCCAACAAAAGCATTCTCTTGGACTATCTTATAATTTTTTTTTTCAATAATTTCATTGTAATTTCAATCTCTTAAAATTTAGAATTATAGTAAAATATAAAAAATTATTATAGAAAATTCACCTATTTGGATAAGTATATCTCCTATATGAAAAAAAAGTAATTTAAATGTACTAGAAAAAAAAAAGAAGAATAAAAAGTCTTGAAGGAAATGAATGGTAAAGAAGAGGGTGATTAATTAAAAAAATGATGATAGGGCGAAAAAAATGGTTACTGAATGAATTAAATATGGTAAACTTATTTAATCATTAAAATTCATGGAAAAAAAAAATACCAATCTTGAGATAGGGAATAAGAATCTTGTAAAGCTGTCTTATTTTCCTTTATTTTAGCATGCTTTTTTACTTTCCAAAATTTCTTAAAATTAAACCAAACATAAGATTTTTAAAATAAGTAAAATGAATATTTTCTTTGGTCATTTTCCATGACAACCAAATAGACCCTTACAGAAACTTGGCTATATTTGGATTTGTGAAATCGGAACACATAAATTCAGATTTTAGTAATCTGGATCAAGTTAACTCTATCTATATTATTTTATTATTATCTCCAGAAATTATTTTTTTTATCGTCTTTCATATTCTGCAAATCCAGAAATGAATTAATTATATAAAATTAAACGGTTTAGTTTATCTCCACTCTAACTAAACTAAGCCGAATTATCTAATTCCCAATATTTTTTTTTTTTTTTTCTGATTTTGGCAATCCAAATTCATGCTGCTTTCGGACTTCAGAGAGAGCAAGTTCTGTCCACCTCCCTCAAGAAAAATATAGTTTTATCTTGGTCCTTCCCGTATAAATATATTTAGGTAAAAACTCCTTGGACACGAGTCCCGCTTATAAATAGTGTTACTTGAGGGTTATAAATATATCCTCAAAGAGTCAAGACCCTCACCGAGGAAGTTAATTCTCTTGCATTTTTCTCTCTATAAAGTAAAAAGAACGTTAATATTTTCTATCACTAAACTAATTTATCCATCCGGGCGCGCCGTTAGGAATTGTTTGTCACAACTCACAAGTCACAACCTTTAGGGGAGGGGCCAAAGGGAAAAAAATAGTTTGGGAAATTGATGTGAGTTTCCAGCTTCCCGCCCGGTAGAAACTAAAACGTAGTAAAAGGTAAAATACGATTGTCGTGTCGTCGACTGTGGTGACTTCTGGTCGATTGCCAAGGCCCCAGGCGGACGTGTTCGACTACTTGTCTCTTCCAATTTGTAAGAATGAATTCCCCCATCTCTTCATAACTTTTCTGGCATAACATTCTTGTCCTTTTAATGTTTTAAAATCTCCGGGAAACCTTTAAAATGAGATGATGGTTTCTGGGAATGTTTGAGAAACTTATTGCTCGCGAGGTGTTCGACTATATGGTTCAACGAACTTGGAGACAAACAAACCGTAGCTGCTCAACATTTTCTTTTTTAATCTTAGAAAATATTTAGAATGAGACTAATGGGGAGTATTTGATTACTAAGGATGTCAAGTTAAAGTCCCCTCCCTTCATGCCCTAGTGATGTGCATGGATTTTTTCTAGCTTGTAAAGATAATGTCAGAAATGAATTCGGACTCTACTTGTACAATGAAACTGGTATTTTTTTTTCCTCCTTTCGTTCCTCTGGTGATTTGTTTCATTTGAATCTGTTTTCCTTACACGTTTTCTTCGTTTTAGCGTGGAAAGGAGCTGTCTTTGCCTGGTGCCTGGATTCAGCCGTGATGGATTTGAGATTGAGGTCGACTTTTCAAGGTTTTGCTTTTCTTTTACCCTACAGAATGGTTATTCTTTTGATATATGATTATTTGTCTGATTGATGATACGATTTGTTTCTCCTTACTGTAGGCTTCACTTCCCCTGGTATTGGCATAGTTCACCATAAGCTGCCATCCTGTGTTCATTTTCCGAATGGTAGCAGGTTTGAGAAGTTCCCTAGCACTCTTGTAATGCCCAGAAAGGTGAGTAATTTACCAGCCATGTGGACTTCCATATTTATTCTTTGCATTTGTATTTTTAGTATCTTTGTAAAAGTTGCATACTTGCATTGGAAGTGAAAATTTGAAAATTTGTCATCTCGATTAGGTGAAGTAGGTGGAAATTGTGAACAGTAATACTGTCTTGACAATTCAATACCTTTGTCATTCAGTGGTTGATGTGTTGAAAACTTTAGCATCCAACCACCTGAATGTCTTGTGAGGTTGACAATTATGAACCGACTCCACTTGGACATTTATGGCTTATTTTCAAAAGTTGCATTTTGTTTATAACTTTATGGTCATTTGCAGATACTGAATGAGGGAATACAATGCTTTCTTTTAAGAAAGTATTCCTTACCTGTTGGTAGAAATTATCATTTGCAGACAAGTGATGATGCAGATGCTGATCAGGAGCCCTTTTGGTCCTTTTTGTTGAAGAAATCTTTTCGGTAAATCAAGAAATGGTTCTGTATTGAAATATTTGGCCTCCCAATGAAGATAATTGACCCTCGTTATATCAGTGGGAATTTATTATTATTATTATTATTATTATTATTATTATTTTTTTTTTTTTTCCTTGTTTAGGTTTCGGAGGGGAGTGAATGGGATATTTAACAGGTGATCTTTTGCTTCAGGTTACTGAAGTCTTTAATTGTGTTTTTAATCGAGCAACCGAGTCAGCTCAAATACATAGAGTGGCCAAGCTTCCAGAGCACAGTAAGTTTGTCTTATATCTTGTGATTTTTACTTGGGAAATTAACTTTAGCTATCAAATCGAACGCATAAATTATCTTGCCACTCGCTTGATCTTTAAATCAATCATCCGTGGTTACAGATTTGAGAATCATCACAGATAATTTTTGAAGGAAATATTTATTTATGTACACAGTTTCTCTCATGTTTTATCTTAAAAAGATCATCATTCATGGCTGGTTCACACTTTTGTCTATCACGTTTGGCTTCTGATGCTCTAATATGATTCACTGGCATCATGTCTTCCTCATTGAAGTGATTTTTCCCCCTTCAGTTTTCTAATCATATCCTCATTAATTTGATTCCATCTGCCGATTCCCTCGTAGTCTAATGACTGAAATATCTTCTATTTACATTAAGCAACCACATCTTTTATTTGGAAGCAGCCTTGAGTTCCTAGTTTCAATGTAAAAGAATGTCAGGTTTTGGCGTTTTGCTGGGGCACAAAACGCATCTGTGATATAAGATAATTCAGTGACATGATGACAGATGATTTATGTGGAGTCCTAATACCAAGTGGAATAACAGTAATGTGTTGTTAATCATGCCATAGTTGCTATAGCCTATAGTTTGTATCTTGAATGTGACTTTTGAGGGGTTTGTATCTCTTCTGTGCAGCTTAAAACCGCGACCCTCACTCTTCTGCTTGTGGGGCTGCTTATCATTGCTTTATCTTCTGTCGATTCTGCTCTTTGTTACATACTTGCCCTGCTCTCAAGAAGGCGTGTTTGATCCAAATCTATTGCAAGGACAAGGTTAATATAAATAGTTTGTTAGTTGCTAAGGTTATAGTATAAATAGTTAGTTGCTAAGGTTAGGTTCCATATTTTGTTTTTGGCCCGATTTTGTAATGCTTCTTTTATATAATTATTTTTGTTATCAATATATTTTTCAGTCCGAAATCTTAAAAGAAAAACAACAGAAACAAGAAAACAGAATTAACAACATACATTTGTGTTGATTACCCCATGCAACTAAAGCAACAGGTTACTTCTGTGTTGACTATCCCATCCAAAGAATACTAGAATTACAGAAAGGGATGACATAGAGTTAAGAGCTGTGTGTTTGTCAATGTTCTGATAAGACTTGGTAGGCATTCAACTTTTTACTACATGGTGATTACAGAAGCAACATCTTCAGCAGGTAGAAAATTCTATAAGTTCTTGGAGCGACTGGTCATTGCTGGTCCAGTAGTGAGCCGGGGAATTTGTTGAGTAACTATCGTAATATCTATAGTTTTCAGCAGCTGAGATCCTTTGTTCGGCCTTTAGAAGTCTCCCAAACCTCAGCAGTTAGAAATTCTCCAGAGCATATAATGTGTTTCACCTTTGGAAAGATGTGAATCCTCCAGATGGTACCAACAACAGTTGTAGCCTTCAGTATTTTCGGACAAGCCAAAAAATCGCGCGACTAATAATCTTGATTTTCGCCCCATTTAAAGATCAACTATGGAGCTATAAATTGAAGAGGTTACGCATTTCAGGAAACTTGAGGAAGTGGCAAAAAAACTATGGCTATATAAATTCATTTATGAAAACCATAAAAAAAGGATGATATAACCTCAGTTTTTTTTCTTATTTTTCTCCCAAATGTCAACTTTGCAAAAATACAACAAAACAGGGGGAGGAAATTGACTAGTTTATCAAACAAGTTCCAATGGAGAAGAAAATAAAAAAAACTGAAGTTTATTATGGTAAAATGACCTCTCCTTATTTCGGCATAAAAAAAAGTCAAATAAAACTGATTTCCAATTAGTTCTCTAATCGGGGTTTCCGCTGATAGGTTCATGGAGGATGTTCATGTTGTTGTCTGCTGTATTGGCTTAAACGTGCGCGCAGGGTTATTTGCAGGTACATAATTCAAATACCATGCTGACATTGCATACTCTACCTTAGTTATTCATGAATTAACGCTTATACAATCTCCAGATTTATGCATCCACCATGTACCATTTCAACCTTGTTGGTTCTAATCATTGGAACCTCTGATGAATTGATGGGTAGCAACTCAAACATAGATACAGAGGTAAGAATGGATAACTGGTGATTTAGGTTTTGTAACATGCAGAAAGTAATTTCTCTTCCATCAAATTTCTTACTCAAGATTCTCTTCCCGTAAGAACAGCATTGTATTTTTGACTTTTAGGTTTTAAGAATCGAATGAGCAAAATGGATAAGGCATCCAATTGAGACACGAAGGTAGTTTTGGGAACTTAAACCTCACTTCTCTTTAATGAAACTTCTTGTTCCGTCAAATGAAGAGAAAAAAAAAACCATTATTGTACCCATTCAAGAAAATGGACTATTTTAGATTAGTCTAATGGAGAACATGCAATGTTTACGGATTTCCAACATAGTTGGATGCAGTTTTTTTTTTTTTTTTTTTGGGAAATTAGTACCTGTATATTAAAAAAAAATACCTAAATGAACATAAATAAGAACATAAATGATAAGAACATAAATGAAGATCAAAATTATGCATTGGAATGTCTATATTTCAATTGTTGTAAACCTTTGCATGCTTTATAGATTTGTAATGAAGACTATTTTTCTGATACATTTTTTTTAACTTTTACATATTTTATTTCAATAAATTAAAGACAAAAAAGTAAACTGCTCAAATGATTCTTTACATTTTGAAAAAAACTTATTTTGATTCATTATATTAATAATTCACTGATTTGATCCATTACATTTGTATTTTACACTAATTTAGTTTTTTTTTTTTTTTTTTTGACACTTCACATTTGAGAGTTCTCGAATTGATCATTTCTTGATCAAGTCAACAAGGGTATATTGGGTAATTTTTAATTCTCAAATTTTCAAAAAAACTAAAAAAACAAAAATTGAGTAAAGTAATTTTAACCATATTTTATTAATTTACAATGTCCAAAACATTCCAAACAAAGCCTAAAAACTTCATACAATTTCCAAAAGAGTATCCATGTAACATGTACTCCCTCTGTCCCAAAATTATTGTCCAGTTTGAGATTTCACTTTCAGTACAATTTGAACTAAAAATGAAAATTCAAACTGGACAATAATTATGGGATGGAGGGAGTACATGTTATTATTGGGATATATCTATACACAAAACAAGAGATCCTTTATGGCTCATTCGGTGTCACACTTCGTGTGAAACTATTATAAAATTTACAGGAATAAAACACCAAATGCATCATGAAAAATCTGACCCGCAAATTTACAGGTCATTTTATCAAAGGTTAAGGGAACAACAAAGCAAAATAAAATTTACAACTACATTTTGATTTATGCTTCATGTCATGAGAGAGACAGATTAGTACTACGCAATTCATGCATAGAATAATGATACAGGAAACAATTTCCTACCATTTAAGTAATTCTAAATATCCATTAATTCTCTGTAACTATTACAACATACATGATGATTTTCAATGATTTGACCCTAGCAAGTCGACAAAATTAACTCTAAGAGATGAACCCCAGCTGGAAAAGGCCAACATACTGCTACGGAGTTTTAAAGACACCTATAGCGCCTCCAGAATATAACATATATATACACATTCTCAAAACCTATGGCTTGAGTCAGAAAATCACCATAAGTACAATCTCACTGTGAACTCGAGACTCTTTCTAGGCCGAGGTCTAGTGGTAATAGATACCTATAAAATACGGAAACCCCACAGGTAAGTTATGGAACACAGGTTTGAAATGCGGGTTCGCATGCCAAAGTAACCAAGAACAAATGGGGAAAGCAATACAGAAACCCATAAAGAATATTCACCATGTTAAGTACAAAATAAATTGAACTGTGAATCCAAATATTAGTATATAATGTACAATAACAAAAAAACAAATGAGATTCACAAAAAGCACTGATCATTAATGATTTTTATCTTCATTCCTAATTTATAGAGTAATGTATGCAGTAACATAATGAGATGGCCATGATAACAAACGGGTCTTTTCCCTAAAAAATTTAATTAAAACAAAGGTGGACAAATTTAAATTTTTCAGAATATTTGTGGACATGAATATATCCCACGGATTTCCGAAATCCGAGTTATATTTAAAATTGAGAACTCGGATTTCCGAAATCCGAGTTTACCTCGGATTCGGATAATTAGTTTTAGTTTTAATTAAAATGAATTCGGATTTTCAAAATCCGTTTTCTATTAAATTCAGATTTCCGAAATCCGAGTTTACCTCGGATTCGGATTTTTGAAATCCGAAGGATATAGATTTGTCCACAAAAATTTCAAAAAAATTAATTTGGTCTACCTTTTTTTAAAGAAAATTGTTTAGGTCAAAAACTCGATAACAAACCACAATACAATGTGGCTAAGAAGATAATAAACCAAAATTCTTTGTAGGAGGGCTTGCTGAGAAGGATGAATGTATAAGGAACAGACAAGCCTTTATTCCAATATGTGAAGTCAGCTATACAACAGCTAAAAAAAAGAAGCCCTTTTCCAGCTTTTTGAAGTCAGCTATACTGATCATTTATCGCGACAATAGAAAATACCCCAAAAAAATTTACCCACCAAGTGGAGCCTGGTAGAACAAAAATCTTCAAGGTTGACAACAGTTTCACAAATAGCATAGGATACACAGAAAAAGAGATTACAATTCTGTCTAAGAATCAGGGGAAGGAGTAAATCGGAATTGAGAAGGCATTTCCTGATAAGGATGCAATGACAATAAAGAATCCAGGGATAAGGAATTAATTATAAGTTCCCAAGTTTCTCCCCATGAGGCCAATTTTTCCACGATAAAGAATATTCTTTTACAAATGCTCAAAAGCATGTTTAGGCTAGTCACTTGAGCATAGACAACATGAATGTCGAACTTTGCCAGAGTTAGATCTCTGTAATCTTCAATCTAAGCATACCAAATTTTCGATCGAGAGCATTTGAAACTCGGGGAAACAGAGGAAGGAAAAGTTGAACCTATTCCAGCTACAATCTACCACCACCTGATCAGTTAAAACTTAAAAGAGGACAAGAAGATATTCCTATTGACTAGCAGCAAAGTTTAAACAGACAGAATCTCAAAAAAGGACAATGGACCGGAACTTCAACGAATAAGAACACCAACTTATTAACAATATGAATCCCAACTTATCCACGACAGCCCTGAACTAACTCCCTGCCAAATAAAATTATGCATCATGCAAGCCACCACCAATGTAATGGAGGCAAAAATGCCAAGTTGCATATCTGGCATTGCCCAGAAAATGTGTCGTGTAAGAATCAACTGCCCTGCCACTCAGTGACCCGTCTAGTGATACAAAATCCAGCAACTTTAACTATAGCACCTAGCTACTGCAAAAAAGTTTTCATTATGCAGTGTGTACTGGATGGACTGCATTTGATCGTTGGAGTTAAGGCTAGACAGGAATGACAATGTCGTAAAGTTTACCCGCTACCCTGATATTGGAACATAATCATGATTCTTGGCAGTTCTAGCATTCCAAATCCTTTGCTGGTATGAAGAGGATGCAATATCAGTATACAATACTAGCAAGACAGGAATAATGTCTTCGTACAGTAGCAATATCACAGAGACTCCTCTTCCAATCCAGAAACCCAACACATCTATTGGTTCCTCAGTAGATATTATCACCAAGGACAGTTGCTTTATTTAAATAAGATGACTAACTCTTGACAAAAATTTGTGACATAACAAATTCGAACACCTAAATGGAAGTAATGTGGAGAAAAGAAATGAAATAAGAGGTAATAAACACACCTAAACAATTGAGAAAGCTACACAACAATAAACATCTTCAGGGCAATTGTAGAGGCCATTTCGACGTATTCTACCCGGCACCAAATAAGACCTAACATACAGGTATATTCTCAGATCTTCAACTTTGTGCTTAGTAAACTTAGGTACATAACTCTAGAAACAATTCTCTACAGGATGTCAGGGTTGTTTACAAAATGGCACTGGAGAAAAAGATATTTCATTTTTGTTTGCATCATTCTATACTAAACTAAATGTGTTTGGACAGGTCCTACCAAAATAGAGATATTTCATGTTAATTTAAGACCTAAAATTACTATGGAACAAACCAAAGGATAAAACAGCTCCTGTGCTTAAAGAATAAAAGAAAACAAGATTTACACTTCTTTTACGAACAACTTAAAATCTAGTTTTCAGAAAATTACAATATATTAGGTTAATTAATTTTTTCCAAAAATACCAATAAATAAAATAACAAAGAATATCTTTAAAATGAAAAACATAAAGAGTTATGCAAATTAAACCTCAAGCAACTTAGAACCCTAACTTCAGCACAAATATCATGATGTTCAAGTTTGACTCAATGCCGAATTCTTAAGCTCAAAGTTACGGTCGATCTTGGAAACCCCAATCACATTATAACACTACTAGAACAACACTTCTAAGGATACTCCAAGTTGAATTCGAAGTACTTTTTCACCCAAAATATAATCATCAAATAGTAAGGTACTTCTTTTAGCATGAAGTTAAATAACAATCCAGAAAATCAAGAGATAGGGTTAACTGATAAACACAATATCCCTCCAAAATAAGAAATTATTTAACAGATTTGTAGTTTTTAGCTTCTATGCTAACATATCTCCCTTGCTTTCTTAGAAAACAAACACACCTTCAGTACGATTGAAAAGTGATTTGAATAAATTCAGGAGAAGAGATCCTAAAAGCCCAATTATTCAGATTTGTACTACAAACCACCTTTTACTCACATCTGTAGGGATTGTTAGGAATAATTCCTACCCTTTAATAATTACAAATCAGAGTACATAAAAGGTTATGGGCAGGAATTTCTAGAGGAGTAGAAAGCATTTTATCTAATTTTAACATATGAGTGGCTCTAAGCCTCTAACAGATCAGACATGGAGGGATAAAGGCTGCTTCTTGTTTTGGTAATGAATACGTGGCTTTAAAGCTAAAAACCTTTCTCAACATAAGGTATAGGAAAGGAGTAAATAGCCAAATTTGCTCAACTTCTGAATAAATCTTTTAAGAAAAACAAGGAACCTGAAAAATATCATTTGGACACAAGGGAGAACTCAAGAAGCAATTCAGTAACTGTTATCAGTCTAGGATTTCAGCCTAACTTGATTTTACCAAACTGCAAATGAAATTACCTCAAAAGCGTCTTGATTTCTGCTGTGGAGGATATCCTGTCATTCCTGTAGATTGGTCTTTTCTCCTCATCTGTGACCAGGTAAGCACGAACACATGAGAAATGACAATTAAAAACACATATTATGTGTACACCTTCAGCAGAACGAAGAAAACCTGCTGTTGCTGGTGAGCCTGGTTAGCAACACCACGCTGCACAGGCATGCTACCAGGATTCATCCCACCACCCATTCCAGCCTGGGAAGTAAGATTATAAGCAGACATTCCGGGGGGTTGCATCCGTTGCATGCCCATAGGCATAGGACGTGGTACAGATCTTGTTGGCATCACATGAGGACCAGGCATGCCTCCGGATTGTGCATTTCCTGATGAGACCTGCTCAAATACAATGGAAATGAAATCAGGACAGTTTCAAACATTAAGCAATTAAGGCTCATGCTCAATAAACAATCATTAAAACGGACATTTTTTAGGAAGAAATTCACTATGCCCCTCAGGAGATCACATTGCATAGCAACTGAAAATTAAAGGTCTTCTCCACTTTTACAAATACTATTACCAGAAATTGAGACAGATTCATTAACAAACTACACCTCTTACAAATTTAAATTTGACCCTTTCCTACGTACAATTTCAGAGTTTCTTACTTCACTCAACTCCTATCAAATAAGAAGTTTCAAAATCTACTGAAATATAGTAGATCACAGCATGTAGATTGCAGCAGAGAATGGTAAATGAGAAAGCTCTTAGAATTAAAATAAAATTGAAAAAAAAAAAGAATACTAAGACCCACTACAATACTATGTTTTTATTTTTAACAGACTTACAAAGGAAAACGAAAAATTCACATTTCCTATACTGTAAGACAAAGTCAAACAAAACTTAGCCTTTCTTTTTAGGCAACAGTCAAAACTATAAACTAACAAATATTTGCATTTATCACAATAAGATTCCTGTTGCCGAATCAAACAATAATAGGTAGATATGGGTGTGTGTGTGAGAGAGTGTGTGTGTGTGTGTGTGTGTGTGTGTGTGTGAGAGAGAGAGAGAGAGAGAGAGAGAATTCACTTGATAAGTAATTTTGGTCTTTCATCATTAAAGATCAAGTAAAAACGTCAACTACCAACACCAGAAACAAACAAATGCATCTGGCCACAGATGCTTATGGATACACAGCAAAAAGGTAATGAAAATCAAGTCATCTAAATTCATTTACAGCAACTTTTTAATGCTAGGCATGATAATTGTAGTAAAGCAAGTTAGCCTCAGATGAACTGCTACATCAGATGCAACCAAAGGAATATTTGTAACAATCAATAAGCAAAGGAACATACAGGCTGAGAAGGTTGAAGACTAATAGTTCCTTCGAAATCGGTTGTTGTGTCCACAGGTCGAATAGGATAGTTCACAACTTTCTCACCAGGTTGTGGAGGCACCAGCGCACTGAATAATTAAACTCGTAAATTAGATATCATATTCGGCCAAGATAAACATCTATATTCATTTCCTCTAGCATATCTTGAGCCAACTTTCTAAACCTCCAAAGACAACCAGGGGGGAGGGGGGTGTTTGGAGCCATAGACTGGACTTCTAAATAGCAGATACCAACAACTATTTGTTCAGTATGAGAATGTGAAATTTTAGCTGAACTGATGGTTACAACAAAGGAAAAATGGCTTAATTCATTAAAAACTTAATAGAAAAAGATTACGTACTTGCGACCAGGCAGTGGTTCCAACCTGAAGTACCTGGACATAAATGGAGAGGGACATAGAGATTAAAAGGAGCAAATGAATGTTCATTAAACAGAAGATTCATGTCCAGATAAAAGGAAACCATCTACGTGCTCGTTAGGTTACAAAACTTGCCAAAGAGCGTCACAAAAATATCCAACAAAAGATAGAAAGAGCAATATATGAAAGTAGCAAACAGATGTAGGGAAAACTTCACGAGTACACCACAAGGCCCTGATATGCATATTGACGCATTACCTAATTCAGTTCGATTAAACAATATCTACTCAAAAATGTTTCAGACTAAATTATCAGTAAACGTACTTATTACATAATAAAAGCACAAAGTACACATATATTAGGCTAGTCCAAGGTCAGCAACTCTTGATCAGCTCAAGAAATTTGACCAAGCCAGCTAATAATCAGTTCAATTTTCACTTATTCAGTTACTATCCTCTATGTGGATTGGAAAGTAAGAGAATATCAAACAACAAGATACTAAAACAACAAAGCACAAAAGACTCTAAGCATGAATATCCTTCAAACATATCATGAGCTTCAGAACGAAAATTTCTATTTGATTGAAGCAATTTATTCCATACAAATTTACGACAATAAACCTCAGAGACTAGGCTGAGCTCAAGCTGAAACATCCAAAAGATGAATGAGAACTCTTTTATGTCCACATCTTGATTTCAGTTAAACTGCCGACTAGTGGGCTTCGCAATATTGAATTTGGTCTGTTATGTTTCTGATTAAAAGGAGAATAAATAATATATATATATATATATACATATTTATATACCAAAATTTAAATCACACTCAACATTATTACCAAAAGTTTTCCCTACAACAGAGTTCCTCTTATCCATCCAAAAGCTGACTCTTGAAAAATACGTTTCACCTTCTGTGAATTTTTTTTTCAGAAGAACAAGAACAAAACGCAGCCTAACACCATCCCTTCCATTATGTAACAAGCAAAACAAAGAAAGAAAAGAAAAAAACAGTCGGGCAGAAAGGGCATTGGGCAGTTGACAATGTAGCTGCCAAACATTAAAAATAAAAAATGGTCAATGCTGTTGGCACACGTTTTGAAACTTTGAAAATTAAAGGGTGATTGATGCAGGTTGCACCTCCTATATGGGCTCCCACAAATATGACAATGTTCTCAAAGTAGGATCATTACAAATTGAAACTCTTGCAAAGAAATCGACAATTTCGTTGACCCATTACACCTAAGACATAGCTGAACGAAAGAAGCTCTTTCTACCCTTCAATCAGGAATTTTACAATAAAGACCAAGCCAGCATTTAGGATTGGAATTGTACATCTTCTGGTTCATAATGAAAGAAGAGCAACAAAAAGAGTTCAAAAAGCTTAGAGCAAATGTGTATGGAAGACATAATTTTGCACGGTTATAAATTAATCATGTAATTTATTGCTTCAAACTATCAATTCACACCTACCCTGTAGATGGTTTCATAGCTTTTGTCAGGTCAGTAGATACTCTCCCCCCAGCACTCAAAAATTGGTAACTAAAGCAAGAAAGTAAGTAGCATCATCTAAGTTGGACCACCTTTGGTGACTTATCCATAGACTACTTCATGGCACTGTTAAAGCTAACGAACTCCAAAGTACGCGGTCCTTGGAAAAGAATAACCAACTCTTACCTGCTAATTAGTACTGGAACAGTAATGTTCTATTCTTAAACCACAGAAAACAACTTTAACCAATCCCAATATGCATATTCTACCATACAAAATTTCCGCTCCTGGCAAGAAAATCCACAAGGATGAAAAGCCAGTTGATATTGTCAAAATATGTTAGGCTGTTTCAAGATCCCAAAACTAAACAACAGTCCAGCAAATTTACACGCAGAAGCTGCAGCTACAAAATTTATGTGAACGCCGTAAAAGAACCACAAGAACATATAGACAACTAGCCAGAAAAATAAAGCTGAATTGATAATATCACGATTGAAAGTACAAAACTTTCCAAAAGGCAGAGTTCAGAGGAAAAAGTCCCAAACCAAACAGTTAAAGAAAGAGAGATAAGGATTCAGAGAAAAAAGTCCATACTCATGCTCAAGAGCTTGTGCTGCAGTAATCCGTTTTCGAGGATCATATCTGCAAGGAAGACAGCCCCAAGGTCATAAACCTCAAGTAAGCTTAAAGAACAAAAGCAATAAAGCATTTAATGTCACTCTTTTAATAGGGGACACAGCTAGCTATATATAAATTACAAATTGAAATGAAAGTTATATATTTGAACCGAGGAAAGAATGCTTCTGCTACCACCGTATTGGAGAAAAGAAAACATGTCTGTGTTGGAGGTTTATAACATGTCCATATTCGCAAATAATTGAATGCAAAAAAAGAAAAAAGAAAAAAAGAAAACAAGTAAAGTAGCAGAAGCTTAGATGACAGCATATACTCGAGCATCTTTGAAAGAAGATCATAAGCAGGATTTTTGGGAGAAAGATGAACCACGTTGTAGAGCCCAGCATTGTCACTGTAAGAAGAGAGGCAAACCGAAAAGCAAATTATTCAGTTCTATGCCGATTGGTTAAGTAAAATCAATGACACATGGATATTTGCATCAACGGAAACAAGAAAAGAAAAGTCATAAGAAAAGAAATCTTACTATTTACGCCCTTGAATCTGTTGCATGTCTGACTGCCAATGAGGAAGATTAACAAGTGTCGGCCACTTTTCTTGTGTAGGATGACCTGCCACATGATAACATTATCAGTAATTATTCACTAAAGAGTACTAAAGGGACAGCGTTTTGATATCTCACCTAGGACCTTAAATATCTTGTCAAGCTGATCAAGCTGCATCATCAACAATCGCGTATCACAAACAGGTGGAAAAAACTTATTATAATCTGGACTAAAATAATGATAAATATATGAAGAGTGTGATAAGTGAACAGGGGGTGGAAGAGAAATCTGCTAATTAAGCTAAAAGAAAACATAACAGCACCATGCCTATAGCACCATGCCCAGCAACTATTTTATTCATTTAACGAGTTTCTCGGTAATTAAAATGTATACTGGTAAGAAATAGATGTCATCCTGAATAGCAACATACTTGAAATGGGTTTTGGACACCTTTCACTTCTTGTCCTTGAAAAAGAGGCTTCAGGGTCAGTAGCTCAGCAAATATGCAGCCAACAGCCCACATATCTGTTGAAAATAACTACTTCCTCTTAATGTCGAAAACAGGAGCTTATGTACATGGAAAATTTGACACATAATTTGCAATGACAAGAAGCTCAAACATGAAATCGAAATACTCACCAACAGCAGTAGTGTAGTGTTTAGCCCCAAGAAGCAATTCAGGTGCACGATACCAGATAGTTACCACAACCTGCCATTTATCAATTGCACAAAAGAATTAGCAGACAATTTGGATTAAAGAGAAGAGTCTAACCAGCAGAAAACTGCCAATTTGAAAAAGTGATACAACTATGTTCATCCCACATATTGGGTGGGAACCTTGCAGAAAATATGAGCAATTATAAGTTCGATTACAAATGGCAAAACAGGTGAAGGAACAAGCAGAATCTCTATAAAAATAGTACTCTTAAAGCTTAAAAGGTTGTAAACAATATCGCAGAAACAACAAAGATCTGGATGTTGCATCTAACATGTAGAGTTCCAAAAGCGGTCGACTATTTTGACCATGTTCCCATTGAACTCCAAATCAGGAATGGCCACCGCCAGACTAAGATAGCAAATCAGCATTTTTAAGAAGCATGAAGCAAGGCTTCAAGCATTCTTTTCAAAATCGAGCTCCAATGCTTCGATGAAAATTGTTCTTTCCTCCTTTTGCTAATACAATTATTCTTACTCTTTTGGATGTTCGTTACACATTCACTCTACATTGATATTTTCTGGATTCTCTTGATTGTTGATTGAGGAAGAAGGTGTTCCCTGCACAATTACAATCAAAAGGCTCAAACTAACATGTGCTATCTTTTCAAATATGCCATCTGTTTTTGCATGATAATAGGCATATGTTTACTCTTAAAGTGATACTAGATTATTTAATCTGGTAATATATATTAGGGGATTCCAGTTCAGGTATTGAGTTATCCATATGGTACTGCTTTCATCAGTTCCTTACTATCTGATCAAATGAAGCCTACCTTATTCAATTTGGTAAGCTGTTTGAAGGAAGGTGATAAGCTCGGGCTATGAGGTATAGCAAGATCTAATAAAACATCAGCAAGCACAAGTTTTAGGAATTGACCAGTCCAACCAATGCAACCAGCTGAACATAAAACTAAGCAGCTGGCAGGGGGATGTGCTAAGTAAATCTAAACTAATGCTGTAATAGGTTGAACCAAGACTTGATAGTGTGCACCTTTAAGCGCTGGGAGAGTAGTTCAATGCATAGGAGCTTCCGAGAGGTTGAGCCATTAAAAACTAAAATAAGGAAGCTACTGACTCCAAATGCACGTTTAGTGTGAAAAACAGTTTAAAAGCAAAAGATTTATGCTCAGACAAATGGAAGAAATTATTACAATATTTATCTGTTAATAGGGTTTATCTCATAACCATGGCTTGACCTTTACAATGGTGAGACATCAATGATTTCCTATATATATGGCGCATGGCAGGTGGTAAGAGGTGAAAAAGAAAAATGGTAAGGATTTTAATTTTTGAAATCATTTTATAAATAAAGTTCACGTGCTTCGTTCATGGCAATTATAGAAAGGGCAGTTAACGAAGTTTTAAAGAAGAGTCAATGTGGTCATTTTGTTCCTTACCAAGAGGTTCTGGGGCGCCCTATATAGTTGAAGTACACGAAGATACCAGACACTATGACATTAAATTTAAGGCATTCCAGCCATTGAAATTTCTTTATACATGACTCAAAAGAATGTCTATTTCCATCCCAAATTCATAATCTTACTCTCTTTTAAGACTAGAGTGCCATAAGCAGCGAGAATTTACAGACTTATATTGAGAGTGCCAACTTTTCTTCTGAGCGTAAAAATGTTGCCCTCAAATATGTGATAACATGATGAAGGCCTTTAACACAAATGAAAAAATAACCAGTAAACATGATGAATCAAAAAGATTCCAACAACACAAATGGAGAGAAAAACCTAGAAGTAAAGAGTAAATAACCATCCCAACTAACAAGCACATCAAGAGTATAGAATATGAAATTAATCAGGAAAATCTCAACTTAAAGTTTAAGTCTTGGACAGCAGTACGAATTAAACAAAGAAAGGAACAGGATAACCCGTGTATAACTTCGTTAAACTTTTAGTATTTGCTAAGGAATCTCTGATCATCAGCTGTTTAAGTCAAAACATAAAGCCATGCAGGAATCACAAAAGTGCAAAATTCTTCATAATAGGATTACAATCAACTCAAACTGATTTAAAAAATCAACATATTCAGACTACAAGCTGTTAGCACTACCTTGGAGGATCAATCCTTCAAATTATATAAGATGTCTAAAATTAGATAAGAATAACAGAAGTTGCCTTACACCATTATCTGCTAGTATCTTTAGCGGGCTTTGGTAAATCCTAGCCAGTCCAAAATCACCAATTTTTACAACTCCGTGCTCTTCTCCTTCCCCCATTACCTGAACATTAAGTTTGCAAGACGCCAGAATAGAAAGTGAATTTTCATTTATAGGGGAATGTTTCCTTCAGCAGCAACTATACCCGGTATTTGTGCCAGGGTATATTTCTCTGAAAGCAGAAGACATTGAAGAGCATATCCATACCAGAATATTTGATGGCTTAAGATCTCGGTGCACAATCCAATTACTGCACAAATATTGAGTGCCTCTAAGTTTGAGCCAACTTGTAGAATAAAAATAGTGAGCAAGATATTTAAAATTTTTCCTTGCCTGTGAAGATAATTGAGACCATTAAGCAGCTGCCATAACAATGACTTCACAGTATACTGATTGATTGACTGGTTAACCTTGTCTCTATGATGTCTAATGATTTCCTAGCATCATCAAAGAAAACCATAGTGAATTGTGATACATTATAGTTTAAAGAATACAAATTTTTAATAAAATAAATGACTTTTAGTCCATTTTAAATTTTGGAAAGAATTCCACTACTACAAGCAATTCTATAGAGTCTTGGCATGCACAGATAATAACCTTGTTCTTCACCTTTTTTAAGTAACTCTTAAACGCAAACATAAAAGAAACTGAATTCTGGAAAATATGGAAGAAAAAAGACTGAGACTGAGTAGGCACCTTGGTGATGGTGGTGGTGGTGGGTGGGGGTTTTCCTAATCTAAGCAGCATCAAGAGAAACCCTAATGATGGCGTTCTTAAGTTCATTTTCCAAAAGATAACAAAAATGTACCACCAAGTTTTTATCTTTTCCTTTAAATAAATCGGTTTGACAAAAGGTTATTTCACTCATCTCTTGTTATCCTAAATCAATCACATAAATTCAACAATATAATGGCATAGGGAAAGAAAGCATTGTTCCACTGTAGACCTTCAACTTCAACAAATATAAAAGAATGAAATCAAGAAACGAGCAGTCACTCTCTTCATCCATATCATAGACAATTTTGTTCGGAGATACCAAACTTAAAACAATAGACAAACCAAGTTTCCTACCATTTTTATTGCTTACACTCATTGGGAATTCAACTTCCCCAAAACAGATAAAGCCACATGAAAGTCAAAAATACTCACATAAAGATCATGCTCTGCGTAATCAAAGGCTAGATAGAGTGACATATCCGCAGGATTAATGTGCACATTCACAAGCTTTACCACGTTCTCATGGTTGATCTCCCGAAGCAACTACAACGGATTTATAAAAAAAATAAAAAAATAAAAAAAAGAAGATTTTCAACCTTAAAAACCACTACGTAATAAACATTCTTCCCGCTATGATGAACTAGTAAAACGAAGAACAGATTTTACCATAATTTCTCGAATGGCAGTAGGGGAGACGCCGTCGCCATCCTTGGACTGCTTGAATTTCTTGATAGCAATGGATTTACTACGATTAGACTTAATCTTCGCTAGGAACACCAGTCCGTATGTTCCTTCCCCAATTTTCCCAATCAAATCATACTGTTGAAGCCACTCCGGTCGATTATTACCACCGCTTCCGCCGCTTGAATTCGACGAATTGCCCGCTCTGCCACCGTCTCCCATTGTGTATGATTTATGGAACTTCCTAACTGATTTCGCTTCTCTATCGAGTAGTTTGATGAACTTTGTTTGTTTAGTTTTTTATGTGTGTTTTTAGGTGTTTTTTTATTGGAAATGTGAAAAGGTATATTGAAAATATAAAAAGTATGTTATAATGGAACAGTTAATATTTAATTATTCTGAAAATATCATTAAAAAAAAAAACCAAACAATAAGTTATTCCAAAAAAACAAAAATGGTAAGACCAATATAGCCTCGTAAACTTGTGGTAGTGGACCCGGACAATAACAAAGGACCAAATATCACAAAACCCACTTTTGAATTTTGACACAAGTCATCCCAAAAAATAGTCATCCCAAAAAATTAATAGTCCGTTTTGACTAGAATTTTTTCTTTAAATATATTTCCTTATATATACCTGGACAAAAATAAATCTTCCAAAAATTTTGTGAACAAATTTATATGTCCCGAATTACGGAAATTTGAATGGGGTAAACTCGGATTTCCGAAATCCGAACCCCTATCAATTCGGATTAGAGAAATCCGACTTTGTGTTACGTAAATCCAATATTAAGTTAATGACAGAAATTAGTGTAATTAATCTAAATCTGAATTTTTTAAATCCGTATTTACGAATAAAATATTAATTTCTGGATAGAAAAAAATGTGTTGAAAAATTAAATTCGGGAAAACCCGGATCACAGTAATCCGAATGAATGTAGCTTCGGATTACCGTAATCCGAATCTCCTCTGTTTTCTGCAAAATGCTAACTCTTAGTTGGCTACATACTAAGATTTACGAAATCCGAATCCTTTACAAAAAGTCTGGGTTCTATGTCAGAACTGAAAAAAAAATTGGACTGGTGTTAACCAGTCCGAAATATTAGAAAACAGAAATTTAGTGGCAACAAAACAATAAACGGCATTCGATTAACAACAAAACAAATCAAGTTTCATACCAAAATCAATACAAAAACTATTTTAAATGTTCAAAATACATCAAAGGTCTCATTTTTTCCCTTTTCCTTTATTGTGCGCATCCGGAGTGTATTTATTTGGGCCCTGTCGAATCCTATCTCCCCTCTTAAGATACGTGAGTATTGAACTCTGTTGTGGTTGCGATTGTCCACCAAACTGAGGCTCGGGTTGAGGTTGGGATTGGGACTCCCCCATGGTGAGAAATTTGACTCCCGGTAGTGGTTGCGACTGTCCACCAAACTGAGTCTCAGGTCCACCAAGGTCAAATTGAGTCTCGAGTCCACCAATGTCTTCAAATTGAGTCTCGACCTGGATGCACGAGCCTCGAGAAGAATGTGCTTGATCCTTATTTTGTTAACCCTCAGTTTGTTGTTGCGATGTCCGAGGGGGGGTTGGGACATTCCTCTTTCTTCCTCCTTCAGTCTTATCTCTCGACCACGGTTTCGCTTTTTTACCCGGCGGAGGTTGTGAGGGCAAAGATGGATCTTCATCAACCAGGATTTGGGTATCCTACACGTCCATCCCATCATTTGCACCCAGGGTTAAAACAACATGTGTTTGATTGATGATATCGTCCAAATGCTTGTCGAGTTCTTCGTCTAGGAGATTCTCATCTTCTCGTTTTTCTCTAAACTTCTCGGAATTCACGTGAATATTGTTCAATACCTCACCCTGAAAAGAAATTGGGACGTTAATTAAAAGAGTAAAATTCTAAAAAAATAAAAAAAAATAAATAAAAACATAAGAAATAAAAAAAAAATATAGAATGAACTCACATATAATTTCACTCGGCTCGAAGAAGTCTCGTATCCTTGAGATTCATAATTTTTGGGATTGGATATCAGTCTGACAGTGTTCACCATGAACCATTCATAGTACCCCTCATATACGGAGCTAGGGTCTCCTTCCTCCAAATCTCGTAGCACGTACTCTTCTCTCCTATTCCAATGACGACGTACTGCGGAATGGTGATCCACCCAATTGTTGCTAGGATACCCAGACATATTGTGGGCGTGATCGAGAATAAATGTTGTATTATCTTTAATCATAGGGCGCTTGGGAACATCCTGTACGTATCCAAATTGTCTCACAACTCTGCCCGACTCGTGGGGTTCCTTAATAGCCCAACAGAACATCCAACACCTAGTCGTCCAAATGGTTTGGCCTTGTGTACAGAAATCAGGGAGTCTATGAAGGACATTTGCATATGGTTGCCACCAAAACTGCACAAAAAGAATTTCATTAGATGGTATAACCGGAACGAAAAGAAATTCAAAGTAAATATAAATACCAAATTAAGTACTTACATCTTCAACACGCAGGCTTGTTAATTGATCTCTAAAAGGTGGGGTGCTGCTCCGTGGGGCGTCTCCGTAGGTGTACCTACATTCCCACATTAATGAACAAACACGAAGGAGTACATTTGAATTAGAAAAAAAGATGAAATGAAAAACAAATAGAAATAAACATTGAGTTATTTTGAACTAAAAATACTACTCCTTTTCTTTGTGGCGCGATTCTCTCGATCCGCTCATACGCCCATACCTAGTAAATTTCAATAATAATGTTAAAACTTCAAATTATAACGTCGAAAGCAAAAAATAATTATAACACCAATTGAAAACTAATACGTAACTGTAGCAAATATAGACAGCCAGTGGCGTCGTGCATGGTGTACTGTGATGCCTCGCACAGTCCAGAGTACAAACCAGCCAACAGTGCCGATCCCCAACTCTATCGACTACACTGATCCAAATCCTCAACCCGGGCCAAGAACTGCAGATTGACAGTGTTTTGCGTCTTGTTAGAAAACATGAAACTGCTAATAAAATGCAGTATAACTGTCCGGGCCCTTTGCTCGAATCGATGGACTGTGGAATTCTCAGGGAGTGCACGGCCCATCTCATCCTCGAACATACCAACATTGACACATTGGCCATTTACTTGAGCTGGCCGGAATCTCAAAGCCTCACATCAATCCCGCCATTCATCTGCAGTCCGGCTAACTGTCGTCCCGTACACCGGGTCACCATCCACCCGAATACCAAAGAGGACCTTGACATCCTGTAGTGTCACAGTCGCCTCTCCAAAATTGAAATGGAAAGTGTGGCTTTCTGGCCTCCACCGTTCCACCAACGCGGTAATGACTTCCTTAACCTTTGGTGCCGTATTTTTGTATATCCCCTAAAAATCGCTGTCGTATCTACGGCCCTTGAGGCGGAACGTATTAATGTCCGGTATCTTGTTCTCATAGACAGCTTGTGACCTATGCTTTGTTTGACGATATAGCATTTTATCTTGTATCGGTCCCGGGTAAAGATGTTTAGGTTGATATTCATATTGCGAGCCCGATGCCTCCTCCACCATTTCAATCCTACACAAGGTAACCAAAGAAAACATCAATGTCCTAACTCATTATTTGGCCAAATTCAACGCAAACCAAACTAATACACAATATCAAAATAACTAACACCAATACGATAGAATATGACAAATAAGTCATATTCTCTTCAAGAATATTTGCCCTAACTCATTATCAAAACAAATAAGTCACAATATGACAATATAACTCATTATTGAACCAAATTTCAAGCCAAAAAGTACCTAACGTTTTGTATTTCTTGCATAAACAAATTTCTTGCATAAACAAATTTCAATGCAACCAGAATATCACAGCCATAGAACAACATTGAAAGCACGAATTGAATGAGGTAAAGCCCTAAAGGTTATCCATTGAACCAAAGTCAAGCCACTTCAACCAACACTACACTAATCAAATAGCTACACTAATCAAATTCAACACAAACCAATTCAAAATTCACACACCACAACAATATACATTCGGCGAAAAAAAAAATACTACATTCGGATTTCAGAAAAAAAAATTTGAAAAACAAAAAATTAAAAAACTTACCGGGAGTATTTAAATGGAGTCGCCGGGAGGAGTGGAGGGAGTCTGCCTTGTTGAATGGAAGGTAGCCGGGAGGAGTGGAGGGAGTCGCCGGGAAAAATGGAGGGAGTCGCCGGGAAGAATGGAAGGTAGCCGAGAGGAGTGGAGGGAGTCGCCGAGGAAAATGGAGGGAGTCGCCGGGAGGAATGGAAGGTAGCCGGGAGGAATAGAGGGAGTCGCCGGGAGGAGTGGAGGGAATCTCTCCTGTTTTTCTCAAGTTGCACACTCTCGGTTGCTTTCCTCAATTCGGATTTCCGAAATCCGAATTCTTTGCTGCAGGAAATAGGCCTAAGTTCGTATTTCTGAAATCCGAATCTCCCCTATTTTTCTCAAATTGCACACTCTCGGTTGCTTTCCTCAATTCGGATTTTTGAAATCCGAATTCTTTGCTGCAGGAAATAGGTCTTGTTTCGGATTTCTGAAATCCGAATCTCTCCTGTTTCTCCTAAAATTGCACACTCTCGGTTGTTTTCCTCAATTTGGGTTTTCGAAATCCGAACTTAGTACAAATTGCATAAACATGGATCTCTAAAATTCGAATGCTTTGCTGCAGGAAATCGGTCCGGTTCTGGATTTTGGAAATCCGGGCTTAATACAAAACGCATACTTTCAGATTTCGGCAATCTGAAGCCTTTACCAAAACCTTAAAAATGAGTTTTTTGCACAATTCCAAAACTTGTTATGAACAACTAGTATATATTTCATCACAATCACAGCACTAGCACCAACAATTTAATGTTAACATTACAATCCGAATAATTCAATGTTAACATTACAATCCGAATTTGTCCATGTCTATTTAAATAGTTGTCATTCCAAATAACTTGCAAGAACACTAAATGACTCTCAATTCCAACTGTCATTCACAGGTCTTCTATCTACTCCCGGGTGCGAGTTAGGACAAGAATTGGCATCATGACCTTGTTGTCCACATCTCCAACATTCCCCCGGGCTCCGGCGTCTCCTGTATTCCATTCGCATTCTATGTCTCCTTTTTTGTCTTCGTCCCGGTCCGGCATGCAACACAAGGCGCTCATAATTCGGAATGATGTTCCAATTGACCGTCGGCCATTGTTCCTCATCGGGAACCGGAACAAAGCTCGTGTAATCAAATTGTTTGCGCCACGTTGGAAGGCGCCACACACTATGATATAGATCAATAGGCCGATCTCATTTTCTCCGACAAACTTGGAGTGCGTGCGTACAAGGCATCCGGTACTCTTGCCACTTCCTGCACGAACACCTATGTTCATCGTAGTTCACCGTATGCAAAGACCCACCCCTGCCACTTACCCGTGTTGCAGTAACAACCTGCCACATAGCATCACCACCATCAAAAGGGGTGGCTTCAAAACTGGCTACTTTGTCGTTCATTTTCTCGTATTTTTTCCACAATTCAGGAGGGATCGGTGTCATGCAATTTCTCGCAGACAATTGTTCTTCTCTGTAGAATTTCACAATTTTGCGAAAAGTTGCATGGATCAAGGCTCTAATTGGTAAAAAACGGATCCCTTTCAACGCATTGTTGTAACTCTCAGAAATGTTGGTTGTCGCTATGTCCCAACGGCGAAGACCAGCTTTCAATTGAGCCCAGTTACTCCCTCCAATCCCTCGAAGATACTCCCATGCAGCATGTTTGAATTCAATAAGCTCTGCCCTCATACGGTTGTATTTCACTCTTCAAAGCGTCGTGCCCATCTTCCAACATAACCGCTTCACCTTTTTGCTATTATATTGCGACACAAGATTGCTGCGAACGCGGCGGAGGCAAAGAAAGTGGCCACCATCACCTAAATCACGCCATTCATCCATCTGTGACATTGCGCTTAACAACCCTGCATTCCGGTCGGATATCACACTTACGATTCTATCATACACAACCCACAACCCCAAACTCCTCATAAAAAATGTCCAACTCTCTACTGTCTCCTCATCCACAATCGCAAATGCAACCGGTGAAATGTGCTTGTTTGCGGTATAGACCACCACAACAAGCAATTTACCCTTGTATCCACCACGCAAGAAGGTTCCATCGATACAAATGACCGGTGGACATTCAAAAAACGTCGCAGCCACCGGTGCAAATGACCAGAAGACGTGTTTAAATGTCCTATTTCCCCTGTTCCAACCTTCTTGTCCCTCCTTCCATTCCCACTCTACTACAGTCTTAGGATTAGTAAACTTAAGCGCATCGATATACCTGCACAACAAACAAGTCATAGTTAAAATATTTCAATACATGTAAAAAAAAAACACTAAAAATATTTCAATACACGAATAAACCTTGATATTTACTGTGGAAGTTCTTCGAAATTCGAGGTCCAATCACCATAGACCGCTTCTATGGCTTTCCTCCTCCCATGCCATGCGCTTTTGTATCGTACATCTACTTTCAATAAGGTCTTCACATCTTTTTGTGCCGAGGCCACCGTATAATTTACGTTGTCCTCAACCTTTCTCCTGATGAGTCTAGCAATCAAAGACACGTCCACACACTGATTGTCATTATCATTCATGGGAGTCATGCAATTATGTGCATCATGCCACCTCACAATTTCATGAAGGTCGTGATCTTTCAAAGACACACGCATCTTCCACTCACATGGTGGTTCACCATCCTCACTTTCCACATTTAATGTTCTGCACCGTACAACCCACGTCTTTGGACTACTCGCGGCGACCGTATATTCTCTTTTATGATGGATGTTCCATAATTTCACAGCATGCTTTGCTTCTGATTGGGATTTGAAACAAACACCAATGTCCATTCCTTCGGGCGTCTTATCTCACATCTTAAGAGCAAACTCATCTTTAATCCGAGTTACTTACGGACTTGGATTTCGTAAATCCGAGTTTGGTCAATTCTGAATTTTTTTATTTATTTTTTGGTCCTCCAATTTATGGTACATGCCTACTTCCACCAACCAAAATTAAAAGTAGTCGGATTTCCAAAATCCGAATACAGAAAACTGGATTACGGACTTCCGGTTTTTGGATTCAAAAATTTCGCGCCTCGATTTTCTTTTTTTCTTTTTTCTTTTTGTACATTCGGATTTTGTAAATCCGAGGACTACTGTTTATTTAAGGACTCCAGGTCTTGGACTCCTTATTTAAGTTCAAATATTTCGCGCCTCAATTTATTATTTTTTAATTAAATTTGGATTCCGAAAATCCGAACGACACTGTTCATTTAAGAATTTTTAAAAATTATTATTCAACAAAATTTATTTAATTATAATTTTATTATTAAATATAAGCTCAGATTTACGAAATCTGAATCTTTAATTTTAATTAGAACTCGGATTTCGGAAATCCGAGGGATATATTTCTGTCCACTGATATTCTGAAAAATTCAAATTTGTCCACATTTATTTTAATTAACTTTTTTTTGGGAAAAAACCCGTTTTGACTACCATTAATTCAACAAATAGTTTTCATTAAGGGCAAAACGGGTAACTAATAGAATAATACTAAAATACTATATAACAATTGTGCCAATAAGTTTTAGGGCTTTTTTTTGAATAGAAATTAGTGTTTAATTGCGAAAGTTTAATATTGAATCATAAAGGTTGAATACATTGAGCAGTTACCGAGTAAGTAATAAACTAATTTTTATTGCTTATATTTTGTACTGCTACTTCAGCACCACTTAATTCAATAAGAGGTTCAATTTTCTTTATCAAACATGCTTAAATCAAAAAGTGTTTAATAGGATAATTTCAACCAATAAGTGGTATTATCAAACAGGTCTTTTAAAAAATTTATTTTTCATTCAAAACTCTACTTTTAGTCCCCAATATTTTACCCCCTTCTCAGCTGTGTCATCAAAAGAAATTTAATTATGAATTTAGTCGCTAAAAAGATCTATTCAACATTTTTTGTATTTTTAAGAGTAAAATCGTAAAAAGATTAAAAACTTTACCAGAATATTGCATTTTACTTCTCAACTTTTGAATAACAAATAAATTTCCACATCAGATTTTTGTAGTAAAACAAACATAACTGTAACTTTTTATTAACTATTTTTCTTTTCCATCTGCCTATTTTTTACAATTTTTTTCTTTTCTATTTTTCTAAATATTTTTCTTTTTTGTAACTTTTGGCACATTTTTTTTATGAAAGTGTATTTATATGGATCCATGTTTTAGTTATTTATTTTTTTTAGTTTTATTTATTTTGCTTTTCGTGTTCTTGTATACACTTTTCTTTTTATGTTTTCTAACATTTCTATTCACATTATTTGTTTCACTTCTAATTTAATTTTATTATATTTTAACATTTCATAACATTAGACCTCATTCTAATTCAAATGTTTCAGTTTAAAATATCACGTCATACAATTATTAGACACAAATAACCTCCTTTAATTTAAATATTTAAATAATAGTTTGATAAATTTATATCTCAGACGCTAAAGTCTAACAAATCAAAATTGTTAAAACCTAATTATTGAAAATGAATGCTTTACACTATATTTTACAATTTGATATAGTTTTATCATATTGTTTGACTATAATCTAAGTGCGTAATTTTAGTACATTATAATTTAAGTATTTGATGTGATTCTAGTTTAGATGTAATGATTTCTAAAAGCAATCTTCTTATTTAGACATAGAAAACACATAAGAATGGAACATTTAATTTTAATTGATTAAGCAAAAAGCTAATAGTAGTATATTATGAGACTAGAGTTTAAATAATGTAATCATATAAGAATCTTTTTAAACATTATGATAAAATGTGAAAAAATTAACATAAATAATTATTATTACAATACAAGCCCTCTAATTAATCTTCTATAAATAAATAACCTCCATCGAATAATTCGTTTTTGGGTCCCAACTCGAGAGTAGTATAAAATTGATCAAACTCTTTATTATATAAAATTTTTTAAAATAATTACTAATGTAAATGTAGGTCCCATAATTTCATAAATTAATGATTACTTAACAAGAACTAAGAATTTGTTGTAAAATATGAAGTTATTGATCTTTATTTTTTCAAAAAAAGTTATATCTTCGGAGATATTACCTTTGATCTTTCTCATTACATTCAAAAGTTCTGGTGTCGCTAATGTTATAAAATTGAAAGCTCGTAAAATATAAGATTTCCTCCAAACTATAGAATCATTTTGGGATAGAAGGACTACTTATAAGCTACTTTTCTTTTATTTAGGCAAAGATATACAACTTGTTTTCTAATAGTATAAAAAAATTATTTATATTAATAAATTATTAATTTATCGATAAATTAATAACTCTGTATTTAATAAGTATTTGGGTCTGTAAGTTTATTAATTCTTAGAGGTTTTACCATGCATTATTTTACAATCAATTTGAATAAGTAGAGTCCCAAATAAAAAATAATAAAAAATGAAAAATTATGTAAAGGGTTGACGTATTTAAACAATATATTTGTAATAAAAAAGAAGAACAAAAGAGGAATAGAAATTTATTGACAAATCAAAATTTATGTAATTTTAGGTTACAATAAATAAAAAAGATTTAACTAACTCATAAAAAAATTAAAAAAGAAATAAATGATAAAAAAAAAGTGAGGTCTAAAGTTGCAACATAACTAAAACTTGGAGTGAAATTATAAATCTCATCCAAAGTTGAGGAATAACATGTTAGCGATTTGGTATAAACTTTTATTGATTTACTCTTTTGGCCTTGCCAAAAACCAAAAGTGTTTAATAAAGTTTTTCGATGATGACTAAATGCGTAACAAAAATCTTTGTGCGGCCTCAGCTAGTAGAGGGGTAAACATGAGGGATTGAAAGTAGAATTGCCCAAACCTGTATTATTTAAAAATTAATACAAAATAAAAAAAGTGATATTTAATTAATTTTTATTATTAATTTTAAAATTTTAAATGAATAAGTTATTCAATTTTTAGTTTTAGATTTCTTTTAAATTGAATTATTACTCGGGATTGAGGGTTTTTTTTTTTGAGGATGGTACTGCTATTTTCATCGTGTTCGAATTCTTTCCTCGCCTTGCCTTCAAAGAACCCCATAATCAAATCTTAACCAATATGCAGAAATAAATGATGTTTCAGAGGAAAACCTTATTTAATCGCTTTTTTATTCTCATGCTATGTACATTTCTTTTACTTTATTTTTTCATCATTAATTTATTTGTTTGGACCTATATGAGTTCATCTAAACTCAATTTTTGTATCATTATAGTTTATAGTTGCTTTCATATTTTCATCGTCTTTGGATTTTTTCATCTCCTTGACTTCAAAGATCTCCATAATCAAATCTTAAACCATAAGCCGCTCCCTCCTCTCCTCTCTCTCAAACCCTAAAAAAAACTCTCCAATTCTCCCCCATCTTCCACCATGAAGGATGGGGGTAATAATTTTTTCTTTAGTTTTATCGTATTTTTGTTTCTCTTTCTGTTTTAATAAAGGGGATTAACCCCAAAAGTTCCTTCAATAGATTAATCTGGTGATCTATTGAGAGGGTATGGTACTTTTGATTATAGTGTTCCCCCAGTAGCTTGAATCTACTGGTTGAATGTAGAGTATGCCGTCTGCAGTGTTCGTGATATCGTTAGTGATGCTCGCGGGCTCGTTGTTCACTCTTCAACAAGAATCAGTCGTTATAAATCTATTTATTAGATTTGTAATTTGGAGTTTTCATGTGATAATTAGTG